CTTCGAATAAGGTAAATAATGAACAAAAACGTAAAATATGAACCGTAACAGGCAAAAACCGATGCTCAGCTATAATCATGAATGGTGTATTATGTCGAAAGCTTCCATGTCATTGAATAATGCAGGAACAGAAATATTCGGCGGCAAACGAATGTTTCATTGAATAAAGATGAGACAGTATGAAGGATGTCAATAGAGGAGTAGTCTTGAGCAAAACAAAGAATTACTTTTTCCCCACTTCTTAAAGAATAGTGAGTATTATTAGATACATCATCTGTGTTCACTAATTAACCAGCTGCAGGGTAGTATCTTAAACAATAGGAATCCTCAGACTGATCAGACATATAATCATACGATGGCATTAATGTGAACATCCTGTACTTCATAGTAATAAGATGTCTTTCTCGTCCCTTGTTTTCTGTCTCGTGGATAGTTATTATTATAGCATAGTATAATGGACATTCACGATTTTTCTTTGCCTATAACAAAATGTCACTTTGGATATTGCTATGTTAAAAAAAACCCTCTTACGTGTTTATTTTTTTATTATTTGGAGTGTCCGTTATCTATGAGAATATAGAATGATGAACTCTTCTTTAATGATGAGGGGAATCTGTAGAAACTCGTTCCAGAATGTAATTGCGACATTGAATAAGTCTTCAACAGAGAGTATTTATTCAGAAATTCGTTAAAGAGCGCAATTATCCATTCCCCTTGCTCACCATATACTGATATACTCCGTGAATAGATATGTATAATATAAATGCTGTTTTTATAATTACAGGAATGTATACGCGCCGACTATGAATCTATATTCATCCCTTTTCGGATTCTATCGTTATTTATAATAGAACATATATTGTTTCACATGCATCAATCTAATTTATGATATATTTTCAGGTGGTATGGTTAGATAAACGAAAACAATCAGGAAGAAGCTATGGAGACGGGCAAATCCAAAATAACAGCACTAAATCGTCAGCACAAACTTTGCTACGCTGAATTATTCCTTCCCCCCAAATCTCTCTTTCCTGCATTACGGACTGTAATTCGAAATAAAATCACGGAGAGAGTGCTCCTAATTGCAAATAACAGCGCATATATATATGATACATGCGCATAATAGCAGTCATGGTGGACCCATATATATGTAGTCCACTTTATATCTGGATTATCCTTTGACATTTCGAATCTTATTTGAGACAAAATTCTGAAAACAATTACAGTGGAATTCCTCTATCGTTATTAAGATGCTTTTATAGGCCTCGTCATGGAACACGCGATATTATTATTGCTGTTTAATTGTTGCATTCACTTTCATTCTGATACTATCCTTG